AAAAGGCCGGCAGCGTTGAACAACAACAACAAACAACGGAGACAACAGCAACAACATCACCCATCCCGCTCTCGCTGTGGGGTGTGTGCAACACACGCTGGTTGGTGGGACTCCCTCTCTCTCCAGAGAAGAAAAGGCGAAAAAAAGGCCGGCAGCGTTGAACAACAACAACAAACAACGGAGACAACAGCAACAACATCANCAATGTGTGCAGCACGGCAGTGCGTCGTGGTTCTTGCGTGCGTGTAGTTTGTTGCCCAGAGAAAAACAAAAATGACGACGCCTCCCGGGGATGCGTCCATGTGACATATATATTTGCACAGACGGTGTGCTATCTCGAGACACCGACCACGGATTGCAAAGGTAGCGGTTGGGACAGCTCGGGCAAAATATTACTTGTTGTCTTGTGCGCAAGATTTAATTTGCAATTTGGTGCCGAGATGGTGAAATGGGCTCGAGTCTGCTGGGTATTTAGGGCGCGCAGACACCAGGCAGACAGACAGCCATGGCTAAATTTTCACGCCCCTGTGCATGAAAATTGTTCTCTTTCTCGTGCGCACATACTCCCCACACGATCCCTCTAAACAGCTTTTTTTTTGTAAAACAAAACAAAAAGCGTACCCCTAACGGGCCACACTTTTTCAAAAAAAAACTATTATTATTCAAAATCGTGTTGTCCGTGAAATTTGAGGAAATTCATATTCCTCCCTCGGCGCACCACAGGCCGGCATTTTTTCTTTCACTTGGAATTAGACTCGAGGGTCTCCTCTATCGGCGCACAACAGGCTAGCATTTCGAGGTCTGCCATCTCGTTCTTTGCTCTCCCGGTCACTTCAAGTGCAATCGACCGAGGCCGTTGCCGCTGCCTTCGGTCCCTCTGCACCCAGTGCTTTCTGGCCCTGCAGTCAGTGCTTCACTCAGTCGGGGATCCCGTTTGGCGCAGCATTCTGCACCTCGCTCGCTCACTCCCTCTTTGTTTGCACTCATCGATCAGCAGTCATCCTCGCATGCCCGGCAATCAACCATCATCGGTGCTGTCATCCACGCCATCACCCACGCGTTTCCGCGAGCAGATATCCCTCTTTCCGTGTCCCTGTCTCTCTCTCTCTCTCTCTCTCTCTCTCTCTCTTATTCACTCTCTCATGTGTTACATACAGCAGAAGTCACCTGCTCCGTAGTCCAGCAACTCAGTCGCTCGGTAGCAATCTTTTCGTTTCAGTCAGTAATCAGTCCGCCAATATTGCTCAGTCTCCGTGAAATCCATGCACTCTAGTAGACTGCTGTGTGTACGAACACATGGGATTCTGAATTCATACTTTATGTACGCACACAGTAGTCAGTGGAATCCACACAACAAATCCATGTGTACCACACACTACAATCTATGTGAAGACTACGCACATACAGGATTTGAGGCTTTGATGTGTCTGCAGTCATCCGCTGCGCGGGCCAGCTATGGCTCAGCGCATCCATCCATGTATGTGTACGCACACACAGGAAGGCACGGAGAAGCGGAGTTTATTCGCTCTTGAGTCGTCGTCAGGTCGCCGCCTCTGCAATCGCAGGATACCAACCCCAAGACATGACAATCATGGGTGACGCTGCTTCTCGACGACGCCCGCACATGTTCAGTTGCACGCACACACACGCTCCTCACTCCTCAAGCTCTCCCACATCACACTCTTACCCTATTCGATAATGGATAAAGTTACACCATTAGACTAGTCAGCGCTGACTGGTCTAATGGTGTAACTTTATCCATCATCGAATAAAAGATATACGCTCAGCTCGTTAGCACCCGGCTGGATCACATTTTTGGGGTTTACGGCTTGGATCTCCGCGGACGGACCCCTCGCCAGGCGCTGACTGCAAAGAACATAATGGTGCTTGGGAAAGTGAGTAGCCGGGTGTTCCAGCCGGGTGCTAACGAGCTGAGCGTACGGCTGGAGCACCCGGCTACTCACTTTCCCAAGCACCATTATGTTCTTTGCAGTCAGCGCCTGGCGAGGGGTCCGTCCCCGGAGATCCAAGCCGTAAACCCCAAAAATGTGATCCAGCCGGGTGCTAACGAGCTGAGCGTATATCTTTTATTCGATGATGGATAAAGTTACACCATTAGACCAGTCAGCGCTGACTAGTCTAATGGTGTAACTTTATCCATTATCGAATAAAATAAATGAGCACTGAGCATATCTGATGTATTCTTTGCCGGTTGTCACGAACGAGATAACTGAACGTGTGAGGGGTTATCAAGCCACCAACAGCACGTATGAGGGGATGTTATGCTTCCAAGAGTTTAGTTGCCAATCATGCAACGAAAAGAGTATGAGGGGCTTTTATCACACGAAAAGCAGTACCGTAAAAAAAAAAAAAAGATCGATTATTCGGGTGGCTCAGTTGTGTGCGATGGGAGTGTAGAGCAGCTCGGCCATTACGGGCCGTAGGGGTAGGTAACGTCTTGCAGACGTGTTGGAAAACGTGTTGTATACGTGTTGTATAACGTGTTGCATCCGTGCTGTTGTATTAATCGGGGGCGTGCTCGTGCTCGTCAAACCATCACGGTATCGAGTCACGCCTTCATGCTTTCTCACACAACGAATCTCTCTGAATCCTCACCAAAAGCCTCTCACAACCAAGGAAAATATGTAGAAAGTTCCTGTTCCTCCGCATCTCATCACTGCAACATTTGTACGTACGTACTTAACATCTCAACCATCATACTATGCTACGAGTATATCGAATAGCCCCCCTGCTCGTATGCATCGTCATGCTCCGGCAAAATATCAAAGTCATCCTTTCCATACCAGTTCATCCCAAAACACAATCAAAACCAAGAAAACGAAAATACAAAATCCCAACTCAAAAACAATACGTCCGAAAATAATCAATCGCATACAAACTCTTCCAAATCACCAAGAAAAATCCCTAACACTATCTCTCCAAAACACTACCATCTCCACTTGACTCTCTCCATCTCTTGTTCAAGCCCGTACGTATTCTCTCTCTTCCACTCCGCGGAAAAACACGATTTGATCCGAAAACACTTCTTTCACTGCAAATTCATCACAAAGTCTCTGTGCAACGCAAAAGATT